TAATGTAATTATCTCAGTAAACCTCTGTTATGTCAGGCTCGATGCAACACAGCTTTATTCATCTACATGCTTCTGCATTCTGTCTGTTAGCATACGTTGTTTTGGTTAAAGACGTTCTTGGAGCTGGGCTGTGGTGGTGCAAGCCTTCAATCCCAGCACTCAGAAAGCAGAGGCAGGAAGATCTCTGTGAGCTCGAGGAGGCCAGCCTGGCCTACAGAGTGAGTTCTAGGACAACCAGGGCTACACAGAGAAACCTTGTCTGGGGGTACAATGGGGAGGGTCTTCATGGAAACAGGCTGAGGACGTGAGTCATTGATAGAGTAATTGTATAACATGCATGAGACGCTGCATGACCTCTTCCCCAAGGTTGTTTATTTATTTATTATTTTATTTATTTATATGCGTTTTGGGGGGATAGGATCTCACTGTGTAACTCTGACTGGCCTGGAACTATCTACATGTAGCAGGATGGCCTCAGACCCACAGAGATTGGCCTGCTGTCTCCTGAGTGCTGGGATTAAAGGTGTGTACCACCATACCTAGTTTCAATTTATTCGTTTATTATATCTGTGTATCTGTGGTTAAGAGAACTTGCAACTTTTGCCCAAGGATCCGAATTCGATTCCCAGTATCCATGTTGGATGGCTCACAACCACCTATAACTCTAGTTCCAGAGGATTCAGTGCCCTCTTTTGGACTTCCTAGGCACATGTCCGTGCACAGACACAGACACATACATACACATAATTTAATGGGAAAGGAGAGTTGTGTAAAGATGGCGCAGAAGTTAAAAGCTTGTACTGCTCTAGCAGAAGACTAAAGTTTGGTTACCAACACCCACATTAGGCTACTTGCAACCATTTATAACTCCAGATCCAGGGGATCTAGGGCCCTCTTCTGGTCTCCACAGGCACTACACTCACACGCACATACACACACCTAGAAACACATATAGACATAATTAAAAATAAAAATAAAATCTTTAAAAATAAATAAACAAAAGTAGAAATAAATCTAAAGAAAATGAAAGATTTGCATGAAGATCTAGCCTCACATAAATATGTAGTTAAAAGAGAGAGAAATACATGAATAATCTTATCAAGTAATTGTGACTATCTTTCGATAGTACTCTCAAGTTCAATGAATAGTAGTTCCTTAAAAGTTATGAGCAGTGTGGAATCTGAAACCACATCAATGAGCTTTCCTAGTTTTTTTTTTTTTAACTAAAATCCATTGATCCATTTTTCACTTTGAGTGAATCTTCTACAATTACCTGCCTCAGTAACAGTATGCATTGAATATTTGCAATATGTTGGTTAAATTGAGTTAGGCAGATCTTTCAAAATGTTGACACTACTTTTAAAAAGTCACATTTATTAATGTCACTATGGATCTCATAAAACAAACGAGATGTGAGGAAGTCGTTAGGTTCATGGTAACAAACACAAGTCATGTACCTTTTCACTTGTAGTTACAAATATTTCTAGACAAATACTGTGCTTGCTTGCCTTGAAGTTACAAGCTCACATCATTTTTTTTTTCTTTTAGAGAAAAACCCAAGTTTGTCTGCCAATCATTCCTTCAAGTAAAGATAATGTCCCACAAAATAATGAAGACTATTTCCAACAATCTCAGGAGCGATTGTCCTCCAGACCGCTGACGTACTTCGGCAGCAGCAGACAGCTTTCCCAACCACTGCTGTGTTACAAGGAAAGTCTTGTCTGAAGGGTTCAGATTCAGGAAAATTCATGATTCTTACTGCCCCATCAAGGCCGTCCCCACACGAGCCTTCCCGGTGAGGAACAGGGTGACTAATCGTAACTGTGGAGCCCCTGCCTTGATTAGTGCCAGGTGCCAGCATTTTACCCATCACTGCCTTGGCCTCCTTACTACGAGTGCCAACCTGGAGAAAAGGGCAAATAACATCTTAATATTATTATAAAAGTTTTTAAAACATTATTTAACTAATACTACTGGGGGCTGTTGCACATGCCATGACACCCATGTGCAGGTCAGAGAACAACTTGCTGAAAGCTGGATCCCTCCTTCACCAAGTAGGTGCCAGAGACAGGACTTAGGCCACCAGGCTTTGCCAGCAAGCACCTTTACCTGCTGAGACATTTTCATTGCAAACAATACTTGTGACCCTGTAGACCCTCTGCGGACTATATACTATTCTAAGAGCTGTGATCCCACTGCCTACCCACCCTCAGCAATTCTTGGGCCTAAATAGAATTATACCTGTGAGCCAGCACTTATGAAATGTCTTAGAATGCACAATTAAAAAAAAAAGAATCTACATAAATCTTACATTTGAGAGATGATGGATATGAGGTAGAGAGGGTACTATGATGTTTAAGAAATATATGGTCTTAATGGGGTGGGGGTGGGAGGAGGGAAGAGGGGAGATCTGTGGTTGGTATGTAAAAATGAATAAAAAATTTCTTAATAATAATTTAAAAAAGAAACATATGGTCTTAAAAGCCTAGTGAAACAAAACAATATTTAAGTCTAGTGCTATGGTGAATAAGAATCCAAACTGATGGTTCATGGGTATGTGCACCCAAACATATCACTAAATTTTGATTTTTAATTTTGTTATGGTAATCTCCAATATTTATCTTCCTAATATTTTAGATGGGTCCAACACTGAAATTTGTTTGAATATATAGCTATTAAGGGTGGATACTAATGACCTTGAAGAGTGTTGTCTATGCCTCAGACACCAACCTGAGATTTAAACAGAACACGCTCTGTTTACTTCTATTTCCTATTGTTACATATTACTTCAAATAATTTTTGGGAAAAGGCAGATGTATGAATAAATTCCATTTAAAATGCTTTTGACTGCTGATGAAACACCTATATAATTAAAAGTCGAAAGCATTTGCCTGTGTGCCTTTAAAAGGTTGCAGGAAATGCACTCAGCTTGGATGGAGGAAGGCCCCAAAGTGTGTTTTCAATTACAGTGTAGTAAGTACCATGAGGAGTCATCGCAGTTGCAGGAAAAGGTAGTGCCGTGTCCTTTTGCTGTTGTGATCCTAACATCCTAGGGAAAGGGTCCGAGGGAGCTGTGGTCGGGTGTCCTACCATTGTGTTTACTGCTTGGCAGGTGTGAGAGTCCACTACAGTCTGCCCGGAACGGACGGACTTCAGTTTATCATTCATATGGGGATTTCAAGTCCAAGTGGCGGCCAGTTAGATTTGATCTGAGTTGAAAGGGAAATTTAACTGCCTCCTTTTGTTTGTTTGTTTTTCTTATTTTGAGACAGAGTCTCACTGTGTAGCCCTGGCTAGCCTAGAGCTTGCTCTGTAGACCAAGCTGGCTTCAAGCGCACAGAGATCTGCCGGTCACTGCCTCCCTAGTGCTGGGATCAAAGGCGTTGGTCAGCATGTCTGATTTTAACTATCATTAAAATTTTTTTTTTGAATTGGTTTAAGGTTGATGCTCCAGTTTAAACTCAATTGTTTTATATTGTACTCATTTTAGCAGGCATTTAAGCCTCGCTTTAGATAACATCACTTAACATTGGGGTGCTTGATATGTTAGTAGGCATCTGAGGAGGGGTTCATCCTGGGAGTTCATTGGTAATGAAAGCCATCTTTTGGGAGACACAGTCTCCTTTACGGTTTCCTAGTGAAAACAGTAGAAAGCCACTGCCACTGTTAACGGGTTGTACCTAACGCAAACACGGCTCTCTTTAACACCCCGAGAGACTCCTAAGTTCCTTCAGCGATTCATGTCAACTATAGCGTGCCATTTTAATGTTCTATCTCTTCACTATGACTCCACCCTCTTCGATGAAAACATCTATTTAAAAATTGGTAGGAAAATATTTAACATAATAAGATGATGAGTCAAGAGCTTTTTTTTTTAAGCTCAAAGGGAAGATGTAGTTTAAATAATGCACCTTTTTATTTTTTAGCTCTGACTCATGACATATAATGTATTCCACCAAGTTCAAAGTTTCCCCTTACAAAGAGTTTTATGAAATAACTCTTCTTCAGACCAATTTTTTACTTCAATTATAGTAGCAGATTTTGGAGTTTTAAATCATTAACAACCTCTCAGTGAACTTTTATCCAAATGGCTTACAGTCAGAGAAAGAACTGTTCTTTTCACTGAGTACCTTTTGTGTGGAGAACCATCCTTTTCTGTTTTCCCTTTATGTGTCTCTTTGAAGCAAGATGTGTGATTTGTAAAGTAATGAAAGTATATCGCTTAATGAAAACTGCTGTAGTGAGCTCAAACTGCACACTGGAATTGCTTCCGGGCAAACTTCAGCTACCTGTGTTCTGGGGTGGGGGGTCAATTTCAGAAGTTAAGAGCGCTGTATGCACTGTAGGAATATCACGTAGCAGTTAAGTCAACCCTCAGGAGTGACCTAATCTTATTTCCCCTCTTTCTTGGCCAAGGACCTGTAATTTTCATTTAGGGGAGTTTTCAAGTGCTAACTCAACCGGACCCTCCAAAATTGGACATTCATTCCACTCACCTACTGATCTCGCCATATGCTATCTTTTAATTAAAAAAAAAAAAGATTTCCATTGGACTGTTTTAAGAAAGTATGTGAGTCTGTAACCTCAAGGTGATGGGGTGAGAGAGTGAATCTTTCAGTGACAAAAGCCTGAAGAATTTTATACACAGAGCCAAATGTAGTTTAATACACAAAACAAAGTGGTTAGTGCAACCTATTTCCTTAAAAAAAAAAAATCTGTAAAATAATGTTTCAAGAGCGGGGGGGAAACTTTTTCACCCCCCCTTGATTGGGCGACTAGCGGGATAAATTTGAAGAAGTCCATCCCACCCCCGCACGCGCGCCCCCCATTTGTTCCAGACAGAGCAGTTGTAAATGCGAGGCTGAGTCCGCCCTGAGAGCCTTAGGGCACCTTCCTCTTTGCTGTGTGTGTGTGTGTGTGTGTGTGTGTGTGTGGTGCGCGCGCGCGCGCGTGTCTAGCTCTCTCTCTTTCCCTCAGTCTGTGCCTCTGTGTGTGTGTGAGTGTGTGTGTGACAGGGAGAGAGAGAGCGCGAGAGGAGAGCGAGAGAGCGAGCTGCGAGCTGTGCTGCCGCCGCCGCTGCCCTTTGATCCCGACATTAGTGTTAGGGGCTCGGAGACACAGCGCGCGGCCATAGACACCGCCGCACCGGCGCTCATTTATTTATACCTCCCATCACACGCGAGCACCGGACACACACACACCTATTAGATCCGTTTCCATTGAAGACTATTACGCTCGGGGACAAGCCAGGTGCACGACCAAAAAATTAAAAAAAAAAAAAAAAGGAAAAAAAGAAAGAAAGAAAGGAAAGAAGAGAAGAAAACCCCTCTTCTGGCTCCAGGAAACAAGCTTCAACCCATTGCACACACCGGAGAGAAGGGGTTTCCCCCTGCCCGCCCCCCAGCTACCTCCCCGCTCCTGCCAGTGTCTGCTGTCTGCCCCCACGGGGGTTTATTTGATCTCACATTAACCGAGGAGGAGAATGTGAGAAAAGGGGGAAAATGCCCAGGAGGAAGCAGGAGCAGCCCAAGCGCCTTCCCTCACGTAAGTCATCCCTTCTCCACCTCCTCTCGTGCCATTTTCTCGCCCTCCCTCTCCTCTTTCCCCTCCGCAGCCTCGGCCGTTGTTTTCTGCATTAGTTTAGGGTTACAGAGGTGAAACTGACAAAGACACAGCCCGGGTTACTCCTCGTTTAGGTCTATGCCGAGGCAGCCATGTTGGTGATGATCAGCCCCGTGCCCTTTCTATTCTCTCTCTCTCTTTTTCTTTCTTTCTCTCGCCCCCCTCTTTTTTTTTCCTTGAGATCGGGCTTTTTTCCCCCTTTCCCTCCCCCTCCCCCTCCTCACTCCGGGTTGCGGGGGAGGGGGCGAGAGGAGGGAGGAGGGGAGTAGTGTGGATGCCGGGTTTTTGTCGCGGGTGGGGGGAGGTGGGAGAGGTTGCAATCTTGAAAAAAGAAATTCCGTGTGGATCCCGGTGCCCGAGGGTGCGGGGTCGGGGCGCGCGCCGGGCCGGGGCCGTGACATGGCGATTGGGGGTGTCGGGGGCGAGGGCGCGCGGCCG